TATTCCGGATTGACCATGTTTTAATGTGAATTAAGAATATCAGAAGCAGATATCCTTATCTGTGTTCAGGACTCATTACTTGAATTGTGTGTTGCTATTATGCTTGTCATTATATGTCACTCTTGTTAAATCCCAACTCAAATCAGCAGCGTGTTAAAAATGAAACAATAACCAGCACAGTTGGTAAATATGATTCCGTTCCAGAAAGAAGACGGTCTTAACTTGTTCTCGGACACCCATGTTAAACGCGTTGGAAAAATATTAAACTTGTGAGTAATCATGGTAAAGCTTTGGTCATTCTCCCACAGTTGTAATGAATCACTGGTTTTTACGAAGCGAGTCGAGTCAGTGTGACGTAGTAACTAGAGTCGAGTCCTTTTAATGTAGAGACTCTGGTCAAGTCCAGTCATGAGACAAAAAGTTGAAGTGACTGGAGCCTGGTAAAGTCAAGTATTTAACTTAGTCAATTGGAGTCAGCAATTTTTGAACATAATACGATGAAGAGTCAGTTTGTTTGGGTTTTTAAATTCACCTCTGGGTTTCTCTATCTCACACCACATCTTACTCTTGATTTTAACAACACATGACATGAACTTTACAAACCAGCACTGTAAGTCATTGCATGCATTGTTTTCGCAGAATTTACTTTCTTTTTTGGGACTGGAGTCTTATTCAATTTCACTCAAGTCGGGTCCTCTGAAATCGAGTCTATTGGAGGCATTTTCTCGCCGTGACTCGAGTTGATTTACCTTTTCTGACGCAAGTCGAGTCAACAAAAAATTTGAGGCTAGCTCGACTGAACTGGAGTTATTAATTTAAGTCAATAAAACTCGGTGTCACGTCACTGAATTGTAGTTACTGGAGTCAAATAGAGTCATTTGGCAATATGAGCCAACAGAGTTACAGGTGTTTGAACAAAGCATGATACGTGGAAACGTATATTTTTGCACTATACAATTAACCTCAAGGGTATCGTACTACATGTTGTCACAGTTTTCCCGAAGAGACAATGTTCTCGTCGGGTTGCAAAACATTTTTAGCATTCTTTTAAATTCACCAATGCTACTCTATGAAGGAGGGGATGACACAAAAATACAAAACAACTATTGCTACAAGTTAATCAAAGTTGTTTATTTTGTAAGTAAACAAGACTGTCTGTTCGTGAAATGTTAAAATTCGGGTGACCTTTAGTCTCTCATGAAAACGGCGCACAC